TAGCGGCGCTCTCCGCAGCGGCCGCCGCCTGGCGTGGCGGCCGCAGATTCGCCACGGCCGCGGGCCCCCGGCTCCGCCCTCGCCGGGCGCATGGCGAGCCGCACGCCCGGCCGGGCACCGAGGCCTCATGGCGGCCGGGCCGCCGTCCCGGGGGGCCCCGTGTGCGCGGCCGCCTACCCTGACCGTCCGGTGGAGCTGCCCGCTCGCCTGCAGGCCGGCGCGATGCGGCGCCGCTTCTGGGGCGTGCTCAACTGCCTGTGCGCCGGCGCGTTCGGGGCCCTGGCCGCCGCCGCCGCCAAGCTGGCCTTCGGCAGCCAGGTGCGGCCCGGGCGAGGGAAGGGGGTGGGGCGGGCGGGGACCGGGGCTGCCTGCGCCCCTGCGGGCCTGCGGGCCTGCGGGCCTTAGGCACTGCCCTGGGAGGGGGCTGCACTGCGCCGCTCCATTTAAGCCCCTGTGCCCCACCCAGCCCTTCTGCGCTAAGGTGGGATAGCTGGCTGCCCGCCTCCTCCGGTCCTTGGCAAGAGCTCTGACTAAGCGCCTGCAGAACGCTCTCGCTCTGGCTCCTCTCTCTCTGTCCTCTCCCCTCTCTCTCCTCTCTCCTCTATCTTCTGTCTCCAGTCTTAAGTCACCCTCGGCTTCACAGTCGTCTGCAGCCGAGAGCTCGACCCTGACCCTGACCCCTGACCGTGAGTTCATTTCACTCTGGACCTTGAAAGTTTTTCTCAGTCTTTTCCAGTAGTGGCCAGGCTTTCGTTCTCCACTATGTAAGTAGGCTGCCCGTGGCCCTTACGAGGTTCTTCTGTAAAGTCATCCCTTTCCAAAAGACTACTTGGGTGTACATGGAAGAAAACCCTACCCGTTCCTACGGGCAAGCTGCTCTCTGCCAGTCAAGGTCTGCATATCCTTTGTAGGAGACTTGTAAAGCCCCACAGGCTGTGCTCTGTAGCTGCAGTGACACTTTCTCCTGCAGGTGAACATTGCCTTCTGTGTCTTAGGCATTTTTGCCATGGCAAGCACCAATTCTCTGATGTGGACCTTCTTTAGCCGGGGCCTCAGTTTCTCTATGTCTTCAGCCATTGCATCTGTCACAGTGACTTTTTCAAACATACTCAGCTCGGTGAGTAGCCTGGCAACCTTCTGCTTGGGGTTCTGAGTGAGTTGTCCCTGGGAAACCCCTGCTTTTCCAGGCTCTGGAAAGGACAGGAAGTAAAACAGGTTGGATTGGCTCCAGTCAAGGAGCAGCTAAACATGGAACACTCGGGAGTGAACCCTGAGTGTCACTCTGGGCTGACCTCATCTGAAGTCCCTTGGCCTCTCAGAGCTCCCAGAACCCTAACATTAGCTATGGGGTTGGGGGTGGGGCAGCTGGTGAAGGTTCTTTGTGGAAATCCAAGGTCAACAAGGTGGAGGGAATCCAGTCAGTCCTGAAATGGAAGGGAGGCGGCCTCGCTTGGGTTTACGATCAGTTTATGATCAGTACTGGCTGTGTGCTGGCCTCTGCTGGGCCTCAGTGTTCAATTACGGTAGCCCCTGGCTTCCACAGAGGAGACAGAAAGAAGCACATGGATTGATCTGATGAAGGTGGGAGCTGCTTGGGAAGCACCAGACTTTGGCCCCTTCAAAAAGAAGTCAGCCACCAAGGAATGGTGGAGCTGACCAGGGTAGGCCAAGTGCCTTACGGCTTTCTCTCCCACAGGCTGTCTTAGGCTACATGCTGTATGGAGAGTGCCAGGAGGTCCTGTGGTGGGGAGGCGTGTTCCTCATCCTCTGTGGGCTCACCCTTATCCACAGGACGTTACCACCCACCTGGAAGGCAGGCAAGCAGTGACACCAGCTGGCTGGACAGACCACTTTAAAGATAGCCATGGCGCCCAGCTGCTGGCTGACAAGTAGGACTGCTTCCAGGTGACCACAGGCAGATGCCAGACAGCTGCTGGCCTCTGACCGCCTCACACCTGGACGAGGGAAGCATTAGCTCCGATAAGAGGCAGATAACCACCACAGTCTGAAGACCAAGTCCTTGTTTGAGTCTTGTGTGCCAGGGCTACTCAGTGAGTCCTGGAAGACTCTGATCTAAGGGATGCTCAGCAATGTGGCAAGTACTGAAAACATCCTGTGATTTTAGTCCCACTACCTGACCAGGCCCTTCACATACCCTGGAATCGGCAGCTTGCAGGGCAGTGTGTCAGTCTGTCCTGCCTATGACTCCACAACAGAAGAAAACTTGGGCTAATAAACGCTTATTTAAAGCTATTGTGTATGGAATCTCAATTCTTTCCAACCTGGGGGTAAGGGCCTGCAGCCAGGTAGCTGAGTTCTCAGAATGGGGTAGGGAGAAGGGGATTGTGTGTCCTGCCTCTGTCAGCCCAGTCTGCCTATCTCTAAGCCTCATTCTTAATCCTCAAACCTCTTGCCCCTCACCTCAGCAAGTCAAGCCCAGAGAGATCAGTGGTAAAGAAACTGTTCCGCACTCTAACAAGTCTCGAAACGCCCTTGTCACTAGCCACTTCCTTGTCTATGAAGGCCTCATGTCCCATGTGACAGTCTGTTCTGAGCCCTTCATTCTACAGTGAGGAAGAAAGTCATTTAGGCCCCATAAGGGTGTGTTCTTGGGAGGGCCGGGCACCCATCAAGACCAAGCAGGAGGAGCTGGAGAGATGGGTTGGCAGTTAAAACAACACTTGTTATTTTTGCAGAGGACTTGGGTTCTAGTTCTCACCCCCACGTGGTGGCTCAGAGCCCTCCGTAACTGCAGTTCTAGCACATGTGACGCCCTCGCCTGACCTCTCCTAGCACCGGGTGCACACATGGCCTCAGATGTGTGCAGACCATCACACACATAAAATAAATTAAAAAAAACTTAAAAGCATGGAAGGTGGCTGAGAGCCACTGGGAGGGACTCTCTGAGAAAGCCACCATGCACTCAGAAGTACGTCCTGTGCTCAGGGACTCTGCCTCCATCTAGATGCCGGCTGAAGGCTTGATGTTGGCTGCTTCACAGACATGGAAGAACCCAGGATCAAGATATTTCTCTACAGGGAGCATGAATCATTTTCTGAAAAGCAGGAAAGTCTGTCTCTGGGATCACCCGAGAAGACTGGGAGAGTTCATATCTTTGTAGCAGAGAGTAGTCCTTTCGCAAAAACAATAAACTACAAGACAATGTTTGTCTTTCTGATGTCCATCCCAGATTATGGCCTGAGTTTTATTTTGTTTGCTTCGGAGCTGGAGATTTGACATCAGGTTCTATAGCCTGTGGCCCTGATAGGGAAGTTACCATTTTCTGTTCTTTTTATTTACTTATATTTTAAAGGGTCCAACTCAGCAGCTTTTAGTATATCCACAAGGTTTTCAACCATCATCATTAATTCCAGAACATCTCTGACTACTCAAAGTCATACCCATCAGCAGTTACTCTCTGTCTCACCCCCCATTCATACCTTGCTATCACAGATGTTTGTTTCTATGAATTTACTTATTCTAGACATTTTATATGATGGGGATTTTTATGGTTATTAGTATCTGACATTTTTTTCACTTAAAATGCTGTTAATAAGGTGTGATACTAATGTAGCACATTTTAATGCTTCATTCCTATCCGTGGCTTAGTCTATTCTACCTTGCAGGAAGGCCGTTTTGTCTATGCATTGAGATCATGTGTTGGACAAAGGTTTTTTTTTCTACTTTGGGGCCATTATGATTTGGGTACAAATATTAGTATTCAAGATGTTTTCTGGAAATACGATTTCAACCCTATTGAGTATAGACCTAGAAACTGAATTACTAGGGTACATAATAACCCATTTTAACTTGGTCTTTTGGTTTTGCTCTTATTTTTGAGACAGGCTTTTCATATGTAGTCCTTGCTAGCTTGGAACTTGCTATATAGACCTGGTCCCCAAACTACTCAGAGATGCATGTGTGCCTGCTTCCTGAGTGCTAGGACTCCTGTGCAGCTCCTTAAGGAGTTGCCATAGCAGCCACACTACTAAACAGCCCAGCCATCCAAGCATGAGTGTCCTAATTACTCCACTCCCTCAGCAACACTATTATTAATCCTTTTCAGTTTCTGCATTGATTGTACAGTAATTAACATTTTATACAGATAAAATACTTTGATCATACTTGGTCCCCACCTTTGTTCATCTTGTTTTGTTTTTGTTTATCTTTTTGTTACAGCTATTGCTTTAGTTTCTTTCCTAGTAGTTGTGATAAAATGCTCTTGACAAAATCAGCTTGAGAAAGGGTTGATTCTGGCTCAGTTCAGGAACTGATGGGCACATCACTCAAGAGTGGAAGCAGTTGGCCCATTGCACCCACAACTAGGAAGAGAGAGATGAGTGTTTGCTGCTGCTCAGCGCCTTTCCTAGACTCCAGGCAGGGAACGGAACCAACCACATTGGAACCATCCACCTGCATTCCCAGTCCCATCTGCTGACTCAGGAGTCTGTGGGCTAACCGTTAACACCGGCACAGCTACCCTAGCGGCACCTTCTGTGGCTCTCAGTCACATTTCCATGGTGAGTACCTGTATCAAGCATTTTTCCTGTTTATATCAGTTATTTTTGTATCTTCTGTGGAAACATGGTTTTGGGGGGTCTTTGAAAAAATTAGGCTTGGGGAATCTTGATATGGTTTATGACGATCTCATTATGGAGTTCAGGCTGACCTCAAAGTCATGGCAACCTTGCTGCCTTAGCCTTTCAAGTGCTGTGATTCTAGGGATGAGCCACACGGCGGGCTGGGCTTGAGGATCTAGTGTAAACACCACTTTGCCTCGGTCTCTGCAAGGAACTGGGTTAGAGATCACCCCTACTCTTGCCTCGGGTTCCTAGGTGCTGTCTAGGAAGAAAAGCTGCAGCTTGGAAAGCGAGGCAGCCCTGAAGTGGGTAAGACAGAGGGCAACAGGCCTGAGATCCTCAGCCCCACGCCATGCTTCAGTTTCTGCCCAAAGGGAGCGGCTCAGGCACTCCTGGCCAGAACGCCCTACACACAGCCCTGCCTTGGTAGCCCTTCACCGCCCAGAGCTGTTTGTGATCTCTCCTCACAGTCACATTACCAAAACCCAGTCCACGCTTAGACCGCCCTGTAGTGGCGAGGTCATGTCAGCTTGATTCGGGCTAACGTCAGCAGAGAGCATGGAACCTTAAGGGAGAACATAAAGCCTGGAGGTGGCACATGCCTTTAAACCTTTAATCCCAGCACAGGAGGAAGAGGCAGGTGGATCTCTCTGAGTTTGAGGCCAGCCTGGTCTACAGAATGAATTCCAGGACAGCCAGGGCCACAGCAATATTAACCCTAATAAAGATAAAAGCTTCGGTCCTGGATACAAAAGGACGGAGATCCATCTGGACCACGGGCCCTGCCTGGGCACCTTCCAGGGCCCTGTCTTCCGGTGAGAGCCTGCTCTGTCTTTAGGCCTCCCTAGAGAGGAAGGGAGGTGTGTGTGCTCTATGGTGTGTGTGTACTGTGTGGTGTGTACTGTGTGGTGTGTGTGTACTGTATGGTGTGTGTGTACTGTATGGTGTGTGTGTACTGTATGGTGTGTGTGTACTGTATGGTGTGTACTGTATGGTGTGT